AGTGGCGCTTGTGCATCCACTCGTTGTTTTCCTAACATCACTCTATATGTATTCCCCATCTTCTGCTTGAATTTGCTTCGATATTCCAATCTTCACTTCGCTCTTTTATCCACATGGGCAACCAAAAGACAGCAACCAAAACTGGCGCACGAAAGTGCATGGTTAATGGTTGTAAAAACTGAACTGATCCCGTCCAAAGGGCGTATGATCCGATGAACTGGACACCAGACACCGCCTCGCTGGTCAAACTTTGGTTAGTCGAAGATTTTGGTGTTGAATTCCGCAGGAAACTTCATCTGTTTTGGCCTGTGCAGTCTGGTTGAATTCGGAAAATTAAAATTACGGACCTTTTCCTTAGTTGTTTGGTATTCGGTATGTGTATGCATGTATGTACCAAATAAATTCTGATCTGATGTAGCTTGAATGTTAACATGGATTTTGATATTATACTCTCATCTAAATCTCTACGAGTAACTTCAAGAAGAGCTCATCTCCAAGAAAATTCACGATGATTTCATAACCATAATCTGCTGTTAGGTGCTTCTCACTTGAACAGTGGGCACTAAAATGGAAGCCTGATAATTTTGCAATATGTATATATGGAACAATGGATATACACAATGGGCAGCCAAAAGACAGCAATGCAAACTGGAGCAAAAAAGGTGCATGGTTATAAAAGTGCTGGCAAGCTGACCAGTGCACTACTCACTATAGGTTGGTTTCGTCAGAGTTTCTCGCCGACGGCATTCAATATATTATTAAAAACACTCTCCTGTTACCATGCTCTTTTTCCGGTTTTCAAGATTCCATCTTTGACCCAGATCATATATTTACAACTATCTGAACGAAACGTGGCATCTTGCGGTCCCGATTGTGGGAGGACAACCATTTTTACCCAATACTCATCACCAGACCTCATATTTATTCATATGATATTAACATCTAACATACAACATGCTTCACGGGGGGAGGAGGAGGGGCAGTTTCAGTTTCAGTCTATATAACTAGCAACCATGCTTCTATTTTACTCACAACATGTGTACAATAGGTATAAACACAGTGAAGCATTTTACTAGAAAAAGGAGAAACCAATAACAACTATCCAGATGTTATCTCTCTGGCCTCTAGATCAGTCATTCCAGTTCAGTTTTTACAACCATTAATCATGCACTTTCGTGCGTCGGTTTTGGTTGCCCATTTGGATAAAAGAATGAAAAGTGGAATGTTGAAAGCCAATTCAAGCGGAAGATAGAGAATTCATATAGACTGAGGTTGCAAGAATAATGAGATGCATGAGCGCCACTGTTTGTAACACCCAGCCATATCGCTCAGTGTCTCTACCGTCGGGGTCCCCAGCCAGGGAGTCTAACGCGATCTATGTGACCCAGTCTCCTGGTTGGGGTTTTCATGCCCTCATGCCAGATCTTCATTTGGCCGCCCTTGACCTTTTTCCAACGTCCAAGGCGCACAATATACCTCTAAGTCAAATTGAGCCAGTGACCACTGCCACAACCAGAAAGATGTGGGTGGGTATGATTCGTAAGCAACCTCTGAATATTTTGCGTGATTACTTATCAGGGTGGATAACGTTTACTTTCTGCGGTTCTAAGCGCTTTTCTTCTCTTCTGATCACTTCCGGTGTTTCTCAACTTACTATTCTGTCGCATTTGTTTGTAGGTGTGTTCACGCAATGCTGCGGTTGGGTGTCCGTAACGGAATGCTGTTTGTTTCATGATCTTCAGACTCTTTTGACAAAAGTTTCCATCGGACCCATATCCGACACGGTCAAACTCAATATGTTCAAATGCCACGATGTCCCTTTTCAGATTAGATAAGGCACTTGTCACCTTATTCCTTACAGAGACCCTTTACTAGTTCCAGTCATCTTATTCCCCATGAGAGCACTGTAAAATACACGGCCTAATTTTTCAAGATAATCTTTTGTGGGTATCATTGAAGTTCGTTCACTATCTTGTCGCACCTGCAGAGAAAGAATACTGGAGATTTTCCATTAACTATTTCAATTTGTACTGTATGCGTTTTGTCCCACCGTTTGTATTACTCCCAATTTTTTGACGGCTTAAAATCCAAGGATCGCTTCTTGATTTCCCGGGTGACCTAACGTTCTATCAAGACTAAGTGATAAACCAAGTTTTCCCTTTGTTTACAATTTGATGCAAGTGATGAATTAAAACAAAGCGGTTATCTAATTCTGAAAGAGATCGTCAACCGGCATCCACTCACAAAACCCGATCCTAATCTAAACTTCTTCCTTCACGAACATCTACTTACAGGGATAGCACACAATTCGTTACCTTGAGAGTACTTTATTAAACCATTCATTGATTATACATAGCTCGAACGGCTGTATATCTTGAAAAACGCGAGATGCATTTCAGCATTTACCCAGCCGTTCTCTTTCTAATACGAAAGTTTTATATCCGTGAATCGCGCTGAAAATTTACTCGTTTCGGGTGCATAAATCGGATCTGGACTTAAATTGACCTGACCATCAGGAAGTGGTTAGGCATACTTATGGTTACATAAGAGAACACTTCACCGCCAGCTAATCATTTATATGCAAATTTGACCAACCGCAAAAATGCCTGAAAAATCATGATTGCGACACACGAACACATGAACAAGCAATATACTCTGTTGAAAAATCTTGCGGTGTAATAAGATTTCAAATAAGTCTGCGACAAGTCGTCTAACTGATGCCAGCTCACTCTCGTCGGATCGTACATGACTGGTCAGTCCGCTTTACTTTGTGAGTATTTATCGACCCAG